TGGCAGCTGAACGGTTTTGCCTTATGTGTTAAGATAACACTTGAATTGAACCAACAAACTCTACTCCAGTTTAACATCTATTATCATCATCCCAATGTGTAACATGCTAAGGGCTGCCAAGCCAGTAATATGCATAATCCACATCCAGGAGTCTTCCAAGCAAGTGAGACTCATAACAGTCTCAGAATTCTGCAATTCAGATGACCTCTTCAATTTGATGACTTCCAGTTTTACTCAAAGTTAGCCATCATCATCACTGGAAATTGCTGCACCCCTAAAATCTCAACCTGAAGTTCCTTCTTTGACTAAAAGATCCACCTTGACCACTGTGAGTGCCCTTCCTCTTTATGGTGTACACCAACCATCCCATCCCTCCTAGTCTGCTTACTTGCTGGTCTGGTCAAGCCTCTCCTCTCCAGCCTGAACTCCTGGCCAATCACTTCAATCATGCTCTGATTAGCATCCATGATTACTGGGCCCTGCTGGCCCGTCTTATATGCTCTTCCCATTTCCAACTCTGTGTTAACCAAAGCATATTATTTGTTTTGGTTTTTATGTCTACTTCTGAGCCTAGCCCTGAAAATTCAGACTATCTTTCCTTATGTGAACTCTCAAAAAGTTATTTCACCCTCCATGTCAACTTTCTCCAAATTATCAGCTATCCTTTCCTTCTCTAAAATCTCAGGGAAAGAGGGGCCGGCCCGGTGGCGCACTGCTGTAGTGCGCCGCTTGGGAAGCGTGGCGGCGCTCCCGCCGAGGGTTCGGATCCCACATACAGACCGGTTCCCGAGGCGCGGGAGCAACACCGAGGGTTGCGATCCCGTTGCTGGTCCCGGTCCGGTACTCTGGTACGGGGGCGACACTGAGGGTTGCGATCCATTGCCGGACACAGAAAAAGACCAAAAAAAAAGGAAAAAAAAAAAAAAATCTCAGGGAAAGAGACATGCCTGGATCCTCTCCAAAGATAACCTATTTGAATACCATTTCTTTGCATCTTCTCTAGTATCTTAATCAACTCTGTTAATATCTTCAATTTCACCTTCTCCCTGACCTTGACCCTGAGCCTATCTCAAGTTATGTTTTCATTTCTTCCCTTTCATTAATGAAACAATAGTTAGTTCATGTCACTTTATTTCCTAACTTCTCATATACTTCTGATTTGTGATCTGGATTCTCCCTTTACAAACAGCACTTTCAGGATGCCAATTACCTATTCATTGTGAAAGTCACTGGGATCTCCCCATTCTGCTCAACTTCTTAGTATTACTGATATCAGTGATAACCACTTCTCCTCCTGAATACTTTCTCCTCTCTGGGCTTCCTTGTCAGTAAACTGCTTTGGTTTTCCTCCTGTTCCTCTGTTCACTCTGGTCCTGTCTCAACCATTGGCTCTATTTTCCAGAGCTAAGCCTTAAATGTGATCATACTGTAACAGGTTGACCTTAGCTGCCTTTTCCCATATATTGTCATGATCATTCGCTGTGATAGCAATAAATCCTAAATTCTGACATGTTTTCACACTATTAGTCACATTTCTGACATGGTCAAATAATTTTACATTGAGGCAGAGATCATAATGGACATCTTGTTAAATGATGCAATAGGATCCCATGTTGGTCATTTAATTTGTTAAAAAGCAGTTAACACAGGAAGCCAATAAAAACACAAACACCTTAATTTAAAATATAACCATACTTTTATTCGTGAATTCTTTGAACATGGTTCCACTGATTGAAAATTCTTGTATAAACCACCCACACTGCATTGGATAAAATTTTCAGTCTATTTTTTAAAGCATAACAGAAATTTAAGATGTGTGAAACAATCTGTGTACAGAATCTTTCAGTATTTTAATTTTTTTCTCCAAATCCTTTCCAATTCTTAAGTATACCTTTTTCCAGGAATTTTTAAAAGCTATTTACCTATACTATGTCTTCCATAGCAGTCAACTTCATTTTCTTACAAACAGTTCTCCTTAACATTGAGATTTCATCATTTTATCTAATATTTAAGTAAAAGTGCATATTATAATAACAACTAGCATAAATGAGTTTGGGAGCACCACAACCCACTCTGAGTAAGCATACAACTCAACTGGTGGGAATGAGTATTGAATGTACTGGCCAGTAGCCCACCAGCCATAAGCATTCAGCATGCTGTGGGTACCATCAGTATGTTTTCTAGAGAAAATGGAGCACGATGGCTAATTTGGCAAGGAACTTATGTGAAGGTAAAAGAGCAAGTCTATGTATTAAAGTCATGTTAAGTCAGGAATCTCATGGAGGGTAAGAATAATATCCAACCCTAGATCTCTTTCAGTGATAATATTTCTAGACTTTAAAAATAATAAGAGTGATCTTGAGATTCATACATGAAATGACAATCTGTTTTAAAAATTAATGTGGAAAAATGATTAATAATCCCTTAGTAACAGACATGTCTATTCATGGCCAATCTCCCATGTCTTCTGTTTTGTTTTTTGGCAGTTGGCTGGTATGGGGATCTGAAAAATCACCCATGTCTTTAAAGACTGTGAAAAGCTTATTTACTCTGCATGTGCTTATAATAATGGAATTCCTTCCCCACTGAAAATATAAAATTAGGACTTTTAAGGTCCTACCTTCCTTTGTCTAAAACTTAATTTAATTTATTTTTATTGGAACATAGTTGATTGTACATATCTGTGAGGTATAGCACTGAATATGAATACCACCCTCCTTTTTCTATTATCTAATATTTAAATGATAGTCACCAAAAAGTTTAACGGGATGCAATATTTTGGGAACACAGAAAACCTTCTTGCTGCCAATAACAACAACTGGTCTTAGTAATATTGTACAGATTTGCCATATGTAGCAGAAGTGAAAGCTGAACTTAACTCATTAACCTCAATGCAATACAGAAGAAAGAATCCAGAACTCGGTGGATGATAAAGATCTATATTACTAACTCTGAGAGTTACTAATTTTGTGTTTTGATCCCCAAAAGTTAAGTTTTTCTCTACTTTAGAAAAGAGCAGTTAGGGGGCCGGCCCGGTGGCGCACTGGATAGTGCGCCGCTTGGGAAGCGCGGCGGCGCTCCCGCCCGAGGGTTCAGATCCCACATACAGACCGGTTCCCGCTCACTGGCTGAGCGAGGCGCCATTGCCGGACACGGAAAAAGACAAAAGACCAAAAAAAAAAAAAGAGCAGTTAAATTTCTGTTTTTCTTACAGGCTATGCATTCTTTTTTTTTTTTTTTTCCCTGGTGGCTGGCCAGAACGGGATCCAAACCCTTCACCTTGGTGTTATAACACCATGCTCTAGCCAACTGAGCTAACCAGCCAGCCCCATAGGCTACTGATTCTTTTGCAGGAAATAGCAAAACTCTCAAGAGGAAACAATTTTTAATAAACATTGATACTAAATATTTAGATATAATGCAATACTCTATTTAGGGTTTGTTCAAATTTGAGAGCTTTAATTGGCCTGTGGGTGGTTCTGACGTGCTGTTAAATGTTGTACATAATAAGGATGTGTGTATAAACAAGATATTTCAGCCTAAATTGAATTATTCTATGCGGTAATATACAACACTACCTGACCTTTTGCAAACTGCTGGCGTTTTCTGTGAATATTGTCATACTAAAAAGAAAAAGCATGCCTCAGCACTGAGATGCAAGTAAAACTGACATTTTACATAATCTGTGTCCCTGCCTGTCTTTTAATATTAACTTGATTGTTTTTTTCCATTTCTTAACGTTATATAAGATGCTAAACCAGTCAACCAAAAGAATGAGAGGGAAAAGAGCATTATATGAGGATTTCAAATCTTATTTTAAACCACTGATGAAAAATAATGTACAATGAGCAGAGGTTCACAAATTGAATAAGAATAATGACAGCCATTATGATACATTATATCACACGATCATTTAACATTACCTTCAACAAACCGGCCATGAGCTTAATCATTTACTATAGCTGTAATGAGTCAAACAGAAATCCAGCCAAAACAAGTCTGCTCAATTATAGCCATAGAAGGAATAAACTTTCATACCTTTTATCTTGAGAATTAGTTATTTTTTCCTAATACATCCAAACAGATCAGACATATAAACAATTCAACTATAAGCAATATACTGGAAAATTTTTAATTATTCAGTAAATCTAAAGGTCAATGCTAGTTTATACGTGAAATGTAATAAGCATAAAACAAATCAGAAGTGATTTAATAAGTTATTCAAAGTCCTCCTGGTTATTCAAATGAGTCTCTCTGAGAATAGGGATTTCTACTACTTAATGGCTAATGAGTAATTGAAAAACGGCAAATTGAAAGGGCCTTGAGCTGCTGGAAAGTTTGTGGTTTTCTCAATTTTCCACTAATGTTTCTCCATGACCAGTAAGGGTCAACATGACCAAAAATTATTCTCTACTGTTCCTCCTTCAAAAGTTCCCTAAAATTAAAAAGCAATGCTGGGTGCTTTACAATCTCAGAATATATTTCATCAGAGCCTCTTATTTTACAGATATAGAAATTAAACCTGAAAAGGTAAGAGACTCATCTAAAGTCACAAGATAGTGGCAGAGCAGGATCCAGCCACTAAAAATGTCTTAGGAAGTTCAAGTGACTTTAGGGTCAATTGCAGAGGCACATCTTGATCTCTATCACCACGCCCTCTCCACGTGACCCAGACTGCACAACAGAAACTGGAATTTTATTCAACTATGATTCTAAACAACCTCAAAGTTAGCACTATGCCTTCCTAACACACTACTTACAATAATGGTCATTAGCAGAAACTCTCACTTTAAATGTGTTACAGCTATAGCTAAAATGAAATATCAAAACTACTTGTGTTTAAATAAAACCTATGAAAACAGTATTAAGCAAACTTTTCCTTTTTGATATAAACTTATTTAAAGAAAAAGGAATGAGTTCTTTCATAGTCTTTAAGAGAGAACATCTGACATCAGTTAACTCTCAACTAGTTTCAAGTGAAGAATTAAACACAAAATTACCTTTGAAGGTTTCAAGTTCCTTCCTGTAGAAAAAAAAGAAAATGCAAATTTAAAATAATCTATTCACAATGGAAATTGCTTTACATTAAACTAAAAATTTATGAACTTAAATGCCCAGACTAGTACTTCTTTCTAGATACTTATATATTAGTTATGCTTTACTGAAACTGTCAACCCAACTACCCTATAGAAACTATTTTCAGTTATTTCTATTACTTATCAACTCAAAAATTCTACCAAAATTTAAACTATGAAAACACTAAAATGCTTATAAGAAAACAGACAGCATTTTAATGCCAGCTATGAACCATCTCATATATATAAGAATCAGTTTATAAAAGAACTTAACACAATTTTCCCTCCACTGGTAAATATTAAATAATAGACTTTTAAGATCTTTAATTAAAAATTATCCAGAATAGGAGCAGTTATATCCCGTTCCAACAGCAAAGGAGGAAAAGGGGAAAGCACCTATCAAAGGATTGAGGTTCACAGCTCATCCTGCCACAAAAGGGCCAAGCCTCTCGGAATCCTCTGGTTTGTTATTTTGTCAATGTCAATTAAGGATGTGAAATACAAAGTTTCCTGGAGAAATGTACAGCAGGGAAAAATAGATGAACTCACAAAATAAACATTTTGTGACAAAGAAGCCAGAATAAGTTGTTTTCAGGTTTTCCCTCATAATTCTGTAATTATAATTTTTTTCTCCTTATCAGTCTAATAAGTAATTTTGAGGATGTAAGTTTATTTAGGAAAGGCTTGTTATTCCACTCAAAATACAACACATTTATCTTTTATTTGAACTGTAGGTTTTACCTAAAATCTAGAGATGTTTTAACTTCCCAACTCAATATTCCACTCATCTAAATACAATACCCCTCATATTCCAACATAGTTGACTACAATTAACAGCTGGTAGGAAGGACTGGTAAGCTGCCTACTGAAAAACCAAGCAGATAATGTTCTTGCAACAGCCAAAGTGAAGGTTCTTAAATCAGATGATTATCTCATTCCTCTTCCTAAAAATACCCACTCCTCATAATTCTCCAGCTCCGCAGTTCATAAACTATGAAAGAATATTATTTTCAAGCCCATCTTTTAAAAAAAATTGCACAATTGTTTCCCTTCAGCCAACAGTCAACTTCATTCTTAAAACCTTACTTTGGTACAAGATAAACATGCTTAAAACCTACTTTATACTCCAGTAATGAAATGAAAACCAAAATACCTAACATGAAGACAACCTGCATCATATCATCTTGGAAAGATATCTCCAATTTACTTCTTACTGATGCCCTCACCTTAGCAATTCCTTGAGGCCCTTGATGGTGGGCGGGGAGAGGGAATTTGATAGAAAACTCAGTTCTAATGAGTAATTCTTTTTTTTCTATGATTATAATCTTCAGAGAGTTTCTGATTTCCTTCTTTCGGAATGTTCAACTGTGACCAAAATTTCTAAAAGGTACCTCCTGTTTTCAAAAGCTGAAACTCAGACTAATAATTTCACACACATTGTTCTTCCTCTGCCTCCCACCCCCAAATACCAACAACCATGAAATAAAGAATCCAGCATCTTTTACATTAATGAGTAACTGCCAAATGGAGGAGAGCTGCCTTTCCTTTGGATTTATCCTGCTCACCTTTCAACCTTCTGGCTGCCTCATCAATCAAATCAATAGGAAGCTGCTACTGAGAAAAGAGGACAAACCTAGCAGAGTGCTCTTTTAGACATCCTCTACCGACACAAAATCTTAACCAACAACTCCACAACTGTTTGCAAAATTTCCAAGAAACTTACTTTCAGAGAGTAAATCATTCCTCTATCCAATTCCTGGGGAAAAAAAAGACCAATTGAGGTAGTGGTGGTACCAGTAACTGGTTTAAAGTAAAAATTGAACTTTTAAATAACTGATAAAGTACAGCAATAGCACCAAAAGCCTTGAAATTTCATAATTTTTAGGGTGGACTACACCATGTGTTAGATGTAATGAGCTTTTAGAAATAGGGCAGGTATAACAAGGGAGAAGGAAAAGCACATCAAGCAGAGGTAGCAACAAACGTGAAGGCATGTAAGCCAAAAGATGCAGATCATATTTAGTAAACATAATGCAGAACAGCAATCCTTCAGCAAAATTTGTCCTGAAGCAAATACTTCTCAACAGCAGGCTGAGTGAAGAGAAAGTAATTCAGATAGCAAGGTACAGGGTTCTCAGTGCCAGGATAAAAGACTTGGTTTTATTTTTAGCAGAATAACATGAGCAAAGCTGTGCTTTAGAAAAACATTCTAGCTGTGATGGATAGACACACTGGCAAGGGAGAGAATAAAAGCAGGAAGTATTTAGGAAACTATGAGAAGGGTTTAGAGAAGAGCTCATTAATACCTGGCAAGAGCAACGTAAGAGGCAATGGTAATGAAAAGGTAATGAATTTTCTAATTTGAAAAATGCCATAGAGAAGTCTCAACAGCCCATGGCACCTGATTAAAAGGGGTAAGTCGAAGGAGATGAGCACATTGACCATGATGTTTCTAGTCTGGATCCCAGCAGGACGGTGAATTCACTAATAGAAAACTTAAGGAAAAGAAACAGATTCTGGAGGGCAGTGCATGAGTTCAGTAGGGACTTGCTGAAATAACATGGAAAGCTGGTGATGCTGCAGACAGGACTCCCATCCCCTTCAGCCTACTCAAGGATTTAACTCCTACAGATTCCTACTCCCTTTACTTCCCACTCACTCTCGAACTCATTCCAATTTGGCTTCCTGATCCCACCACTGTTGGTGGTGATCACTGGATCTGGCAACACAACGACTGCTGGTGCAAATCAAGGCCACCAACAGTCATTGTGTTGCCAAACAAATGATCATTTCTCACTTTTCGTCCTAATTCCTCAGTAGCATTTGACCCAATTGGTGATTCCTTGATAAGTTTCCTCCAGTTTTCTCCTACTTCCTAAGTTTCTTTTGCTAGTGTCTCCACCTATTCCAGACCACTAAATGTTGGAGTGCTGCAGACTTGGTTTTAGGCCCTTTTGTCTCCCTTAGCTTCTCTCACAAGGCAGTTTCATCCAGCTACATAGCTTTAAATGCCATCTATCTGCTACTGACTTCCCAACTTACACTTCCTGTCTTGATCTTTCAGCTCCAGTCTCATCTGCAACTGCCTATTTGATACCTTTACTTACAAGTGGAGCAAGCTTATCAAAAATTTGCAAAACAGAGCCTACTTTCTCTCCAGTCTTCCTCATCTCAATTAATGGCATTACTCAGTTCCTCAAGTTTTGGTTCATCCATTTCCCTTATTCTCTTCATCCAACCAACCAATCAATTAATCAATAAATAAATCCTGTCAATTCTATCTCAAAACATATCCTGAATTCATCCATTTCTCTTCATCATCATTGCCATCAACCTTATATAAATATCCATTCTCTTATGCTGAATATAATCTTTGTTGAGTTCAACAAAAATTTATTGAGCTTTAGACACTGTGAATAATATTAGGAAAAGCATTAGGAATAATGCTAGGTTTGGGATATACATGTTCCATAACCTTAAGGAACTTTAGTGGGAGAGACAGAGAGATCAAATAACAATAGAAGTCGATGTCATAAATTAGTAGTCCGGGAATAACATGCTTAGGATTCTCCAGAAACAAAGCATACATGTTGGTTTGGTAGGAAAGCCTTCCTGGAGAAGCAAGGATTGAACTGGGTTTTGAAGGAAAGTATAACTTTGATGATGATCATAGGTAACATCTACTGAGAACATGGCAGGTATTTTATTTTTAATCATTATTTATACTCTGAGTTAACCAAATGAAAAAGCACAGGTAAGCAGGAGTTTTAAGTTTTGGTCACTCACCTTCAAATTCTATTAGAAACCGTAATAACAATAATTAGTATAAAACGTCTTCCAGTTCATATTCAATCAGCAATCTCTCCCTTGTCTAAACTCCTATAGCACTTAACTCCATCAGTGCTATAACACCTCATGCGCTGCCTTGTAATGTAGTTATATCCCTACAGGTACCATCTCTAGAATTCCATCATAGAGTTCCTGAAGTGCATAGATCATGTCTCATCTGTATCAAACCTGTGCACAGAGGCAGACCAAACAGACTCTCAGCAAATCATGACTATCAAGAATTGTGGCTACAGGATGACTAAGAACATCTGCTTTTTCAAAGAAGCCCTTCTGTAACTAGAGAGTATTTTATTCTTCATAAAGTTTGGTCACATATTATCTCATCTGATAACAACTTGTTTGTCTCTTATTTTTCAAAGTTTAATAGCATTTTCAGAAGATCAAATAAGTAGAAAGAATTGAAATGCCTTCTTTTAGATTTTACCATATTTTAAAAGTTACTCAATTCAGCAAATGCATTTATCAAATTTAGCATAACAAATCCTGAAGTTAAAACATTCAAAAAATAACACAATACTCAAAAGTTAATAATATTCCAAAGGGTGAAACTGCTATCTAATCATTTTCTCTACAGGGGTTAAGTTATGAAGGCAGAATAAAAATAAAAGCAAGCATCACATTAATAAATAAATCTTTGGAATGTTACAAGAAGTATATTAAATCTGTAGAAGTGTAGAAATCAACTAAATCAGACTCACAGAAGCCCCTGAATATATTGGAGCCACTGGATAAATGTCTCCATAAACAAAACCATCTCACAGATGGAAGCACTCTCTCTCTAAACACTGAACTGCCTCCCTGGGACAAACCCATGATAAAAAGCTAACACAAAATACCACATTCAAAATGCCAACTACAAAATAAACTCTAACATTTTTCTTCACATTTGAAATGTTTAGGGGAATTTTTTTTTTTAAGTATAATCAGCAATACTTTTTCTACAGAACACACTTGAACAGAGTCCCTTTGATATAGCTGATGGACAGAACTATCACTGTGACTACTTGTCCACAGGAAAGATCTCACTAGACCTCTTTCAAAGAAAGGACCACCTACCATTCATTCCTACCATGTCACTGGTCTGCTGTTTCCAAGCATT